TGAAGCAGAAGGGAACCAAGAGCTCAGTCTGGACCTGCAGCAGCTTATAATGAAAAGTTTGGCCGAGGGGGGATACAAAAGATGTCCTGACTTTGGCCGTGCTTGCCCAGCTGTTGGATTCAAAGCGCAAAGGCCAGAGAGCCAGCAGCAGCCGAGACGCCCCTGGTGGTTCCAGCTCAGACAGCTCGAACAGCGACGACGGAGACATGACAAGCCGTGGGATGTCGACTTTACTTCACAAAAGGATCGAGCGCAAGCCGAAGAGAATCATCGAGGATTTCGAGGCCGACATCATCCGGGAGCTTGGCATTGTTCCGGGGCAGGCATGGACAGTCCGCGTCTTCGTGAAGAAGCAGAGCTGGGGCCGCTTCAAGGGTCTCTACAGAGCGGCGATGATGGATGCCGCGGCCTATGAATGGTTAAGGAGCAACAAGCCCGACGTCGCTGCTGCTCAGATCATTCAAAATCTCAAAGCGAAGCTCCAGGCTGTGCTGCAGAATGGCGAGTGGGGGACGGCATGGCTACTAACAGGCCTCGCAGATCCACTTCATCGGAAAGAATGGTCAGGAACTTGGGAAGAGATGAGCGTCATCTCGGGTTATCGAGGCTCTTGCCAAACTGAAGAAGCGGGTCAAAGAGACCCTCTTGCCTGGGTTTTGAGGAAACCCCCGTTATTCGTCCATATCATGACAACTTAACCTGCGTTTCTTCAACCTCCAATTTCAAAACCCCCCATGATCAGGGTTCCATTTCATGTCCATTATCTTAGAAGGTTCTCCTTTCTGGCAGCTTACTAACCCTACACCCTATAAAACCCTTATCTAACCTAACCCTACCCCCATGATTCTCCACGTCCTATCGCGGTCATTCCCCCAGCAGCCCCCATGCCAGAAAAAATCTACCTGTATGTGCCCTGGAACTCTACCGATGCTCATTTTAGATGTCTTCGATGGGGGTATGAGAAGCAAAAATTGAAAAGTGTTTTCAGGACACTCCTAGCTGCTGTGAGAAGAATCTTAACAAAATGACTGTGCGAGAAGCAGTATGCGCATGCCATGTCACAAGAAACCAAAGTTACTTGGCGGTCTCTTCATCTGTTCCCATAGTGCGTAAAGTGTAAATCTAATCCTTTAACATAAGCTGGCTCGTGTGAGCAGGCTTTTGCAGTTGTAAGTATCATGGGCTGTCTGAATTATCAAATATTCATGTTTCCTACAGTTCTTTCTACAGTCTTCCGGGAAGACTCAGATTCTTGCCCCGCCACACATCATCCAAAATCCACCTCGGCCGTGGGCGACCACGACGAGAAGAGGGCACGGAGCTCCTCGAAAATGAATCCTGAAGAAGCGGTGCATGCCAGCGGAATCTGTCTTAGGCACCCTGCGCTTTTTAATAGGAATTCAAAATTCGTGAACTATGTGACCTGGTTTGAAGCATTCAAGGTTTTGTGCCAGAGCGGTCTGGCGATGATGTTCCGTTATTTCCGATGGTGCTCCCCTTCCCCAAGGTTCTGCGGATCAGAATTGTGGAGAGTAAGGCCCTGGCCTGTCAGGTTTGGTCCCGGATGCTGGTAAACACACTGGTAGCTTGGTCAAACTTTGTGGTGCTGGGGTGTTCTGGGGGCCCATGCGAGCCGAAAGTGATCTACCGTTCCTTGGAGGAGGCGCTCTTCGCTGGTAGGTTGCTTGTCGAGGCGGAGGAATTTGCCACCCCTGATTTGGTTTTAGGGTCGCCTTGAGTGTGAAGGTAAACGGGCGACCGTGGAGGCAATGCTTCGTTCACTTCAGGGTTTGGCAGGTGCAAGCTACTCCGATCATGTTGTTCAGGATGCCTGTGGCCATCCACTGCATTGGCGGTCTCTGCTGAGCGGGTTGCCATTCCTAATGAGGCGGTCAAGTGGATCCTCTAGATTGGCTTCCCCCCGATCAAGCTGAGGTGTTTGAAAACCTGGAGCGGCACCGCAAGGAGCCGCACCTCTAGGAAGACATCTGTGTAGCTTGTCACCGGGTTCCTGAGCATGAGGAAGCGGAACTGGCGGAGAAGCTGTTGGAGACGGGCATGGCTGTGCTTGTGCTTGAAGATGATCTACCTCGAGATCAGGACGGGCGGCTCATGCCAGGTGGCCTCTTCAGTGTCAGTAAGAATGCTGAGGAGGATCGGCTTATATTCGACAGGCGGCCGGAGAATGCCACTATGCCGAGGCTCGACTGGGCCCGTCTTCCGAGTG